ACACCTAATCGCGCTCGCATTTCCATACGAGTTGTGTGAGCTGGACGATGCACAAGAGGGCGCAATTTGAGGCGCAAACAACGTCTGCGCGAGCTGCGCCTGAAAATTGCAGCGCCACGACGCGGACAGATAAGCATTTGTGGGGGAATAAGGTTTATAGTATGTACCTGGAGAGCTGCAAGGTCGATAGCCTCTTGACCAATGTGATTCGCATTGAGGGAGGCTACGAGGTCATCCATAGACACGCTCATGGTGAAGAGCCTTTGTGTGTGTGGCGGAAGGCAACGGAGGAGAGATGAACAGAGCCGTCATGCAGAGCCTTGTCAGGAGTATAAATCATTAATTCCGAACCACGTGGTTACTAATTCCATACAAGGGTAACTAATCTTTCGGTTTCTTCCGGTCCGTCTTCCTTAGCTTACCCGTCATGCTCCGTTCCAAACTGGCGTGTAATACCTGAGAGTGCTCCGAGACTCCGAGACAACATTAGCATGCATCATCATGCATGATGGCACAACTTGTCCCCCAGCAATCTTCTTGCAATTTCAGCGTGAGATCATTCACCTTCCTTTGCAGGAAAACTCTCGCATCACGCCAGGTTGACGCACTCGGAATTCTTTTCTTATTCAGACTTAGACGCACGGGAAATTAATCTTCTCTTATCGACTATGCTCGGCATCTACTTAACCTTACCACCCTTCTGATGTTCTGGTACATATGCTTGGTACGTTGTTTCTCATATTTGCGTACACGGTGACTAATACGCACGGTCTTGTGTGTGCTGAGCTAACCGTGCCGGTACTTTGTACGGCCCACGAGGCTGTCCCCCCATATTGAACCCCCCAGAAACTAGCAAATACCATTTCCCGCGGACTGGATAAAGGCCGCTTGTTTATTCTTGGCCATCCCTTTGGTTTGCTTCTTCCTGTGTGTCCATCTATAGATCTATGAAAGCTAGATTGCTCGCGTTGCCTAATTCGCTCAGCTCAGCGGCGGTATAGGCGGCAGCTTCCCGCTCATGGATTTCTGGGCAGAAGTACGGACCGTCTTGCCTATCCCACTCTATCCGCGAGAACATCCATCGGGTCCCGTTTCTCCTGCAATAAACACGTTCTGTCAATGAATTCATCATGGAGTTACGACCTACGTTCTGATTGTTCCAGAAGAAGCGCTCTGGCCGGCGCCGAAGCCCAGTTAGGTTCTTAATGGTTATTGACGGTGGTTCCGGCTTAATTCGGTGTCGTAAATCCTATTACAATTGAGTGAAAGTGTTTTACTAAGTGTTTTTGCCATTGTCATAATATAAAATGATACTCCACTTGATGCATTATAAGTGTGAAAATGTTTAGTTGGAAATAACAAATCAATGTCATGATAGCAATTTTGATCAATAATGACAATCCCAAAATTGTTTGAGGCTGAGTTCAAGTTGTGAGTGAGTGTGAGTACATGTATTGTACACTGTTCATCATTGTGGTCAACTAACTACTGCATCCACCACTATCTGTAAGGATGATGCACAGTAACTTGTTAGCATCATGATAGTCTGTGATGCATCACAGCAAAAGACACTAGAAAACTGTGTAAGGATCATATATCCTTTGCGACCTGACCATGACTTCATAGAAAGACCCATGGACTTAGGTCTAGCCCTCCACATGACTCACTGATGTGAAGAAGCATCATGCTTCACATCTGAGTCATGCAGACACATTCCTTCTCCCTTACCTTCATTATCTCACTATCATCAACAACCAGCATGATCTCTTGCTCCTTCTTCTTACATGATACCCTTCATTCATATTGACCCTCAAACCCTTCCTCTTATTACTGTTCCTCATTCTCTTCTTGCAGCAATAGATGGCAATGCCATGTTTTACATGTGTGGGAAAGTATGCAAAACATATGGTTGAAACATAAAAATATATCATACAAGACTTTCTGGGCTATGATATATGTGCAGTGTGATAGAGGAACATTAGAATGACTATTAAACATAGTATTGAAGTGTTGCAAGGTAATGTATAGGCCTAGACACCAAAAACTCAAAATTAAGTTTGGACTACTGTAGGCACACTATGCAAGAAATGTAAAAACACTACATATATCTGTTGACTTTCGAGGACATGAACATGCAGCGAGAACGACAACTAGAACAAATGTATGACCTCAGTATCCAGGAGGAAGACTCCAAGTGCTAACAGTACCTAGAACAAATGTATGCTGAGTGTTTGTTAGTTGGTGATACATTATGTGAAGCTATTGGTACGTACATCTCAGTATCTGGGAGGAAGACTAAGATGTCTAATTCTATGAGTGACCATTGTAAAGAGTTGATTCTATGTGGGCGCTACAAATGTTGTTACCTTAGAACTCAATGTGTGAGTGAGATGTTCGTCCCAAAGAGACTGCCTATAGAAATGCTCCTTGATATAATGCAAGGGATATCTTGTTAAGATTGAAGGTGAGAGAAGGGAAAGTTACCAAGAGTGCGCTCGATGTTCCAAGGATATGTCCAAAGTACTGAAGTACTCGTCTGAAGTGGTCCAAAGGTGGTCCAACGTCAAGAAATGAAGGTCCGAGGTTGCGCAAAGCATCCAAAGAGCTTCTGATGAACAGCGAGGGTTTCGAGAGAAGTACGGTGGGTGTGTCGAAGTATAAGACTTGCGAAGTACAACTAGGCAAAGTCTATCGAAAGAACTTAGAGACAGCGAGATGCGAAATGGCAGCGGTCAAGCCAAACAATCGTTCCAAATGAACAAAAGATCGATTGCGTGAAGTACGACTATCCGAAAGTGACTCTACTAACTATGACTCGTAGCAGGGAAAGTGAAGTGAAGTGCGAGTAGTTAGCGAGGCGGATTATATCCTACAGCGTGAGGGTCTGGAAACTACGTAGGCGAAAACAGTAGTGAGATAAGTGATCCGAAATGTAATAAGACTTGAGGTGAGCTGCTACAGAGATATCCATGTAATAATGCACGAGGCGTGCTGTTATACATATTAATCAAGCTTTCCAATGGGCCGATGATGTATGTGCCCCTAAGACATAATCAATAATAGATGAACAAGGTAAAAACGCACCAGTGAAGTCAAATTGACATGGACGGGATGTGGTACAGAGGATTGGAAGTGTATACAGGCCTCGGAAATGGATGGATGACCTTTGGACGACTCGGATGAACGCACGGAACTCTCAGAAGGTAAATGGAGTGTCAAGGAATATGTATGTGGGATACCTAAAATAGACTGCAACCATACCTTGCTTGATCACGTGGGGTGACTCTAGCGGTGACCGACTGTGACATATGTTACATTTGACTATTGACAATAACGCTATACACGAGCTTCGTCGAGATTGTGCAAAATGCTATCTGGTAGCATTCGGTGGCCTCTATACTTCTTTGAGGCCCATGCAGCCTGCTTCCCATTTTAATCCTCTATGGTATGCATCCATAAATCAGCAGGCTCATGTTGAAAACCTGATTGGTGTGAAAACTTGAATGTAAGATTTGGATGTTTTAACAATTAACACACCGGCGCATACTATCAAGCGGCACTGATTCGAGAGCAGAGAGAACATTTCGTTCAAGGTCTGCTTCTTTTGATGATGTAGGATATTGACGATACACTCGTTTTGCATATCCCCAGCATTGTTCAATGAAGTTCAGCTCGCAGTGAAACTTTGGAAGGAATAACATTGAAAATCCTCTTGCTTTGCAGATCCTCTCTAGATTTGACTTGACAGCAACAAAGTCTGGCTGATTGTACAGCACCCGACAACAACAGCAATTTGTTGCTCCCTTCACGCACTTGAAGTCCTTGCACTGTGCTCGCAGCTTTGATTCTTGGATAAGTCCTTGCTCATACAAGATTACAGCCATCCCTTTGAAGAGGCCTGCTTTGGGTCCAGCATCTTCACCAAAATAGAGCAACTGTTTCGATCCATCTGCAAAAGTTGCATCGTCCATTTGAATTTTTTCTTTCAATGGTTTGCCAGCCGTGTCTCGAACATTAACCTCCACACCCCAATTGGTTTGTGCTTTCGATGTTCCCTTCGGCATATTTCTTGCAGAGAGAGCTCCGTCTGCATGTTTTAAGTGAGTTGTTGCATTATCAAAGATGAGGATGTGGTTTTCATTGGTGTAGTACTTCTCTAGAATATCCATCGACCTTTCAGCTTGCTCGAGGATGTCCTGATTCGTGAAGTACCCTTCATGATTTTTTCCTGCTTTGAAGAAAACACGAGCCTCCTCTTTTCCATCAGGTGAGCGCAACCACCCATAATCAGCAGAAATGAGATCTGCAATCATCTGTGATGGTCCCTCCCCCTTTGCATAGGGCACAGCTGTTTCACTTTCATGGACCCATCGTGTTTTGCGACGATCATTGGCATAGAATGTGGACTCGTCATGCCACCACACAACAGTCTTCTTTTCTTGTAGCAATGGTTGAGGGTAATCTCTGTCAGTCTTGATGTTGTGACAAGACCAATCTTGAGTCTTCTCCTTGATTGCTGCCCATGCAGGCAAGAAAACCTCCTGCCGGTAAGCCACAACATCATCTCTCTCATGACCATCAACAAATTGACCTTTTGGGTCTTTTGTCCAGCGGTACTCGAGCTTCTTCATCCATCGCTGCGCAGTTGCAAGACTAATTTGCTTTGTGATTCCACTCCGTTTTCGCATTTCTGGTGTATTGAGGAAGTCAACAAGGTCCATAGCCTGTACATATTTTCCAGTCGCTTGTAGATGCATGTGTATTTCCTGTGCAAGATCCTCGTTTTTGTCAAGAAGTGACTCATTCCATGTCCCATAAATATTGATTGGGAGATCCTCACGATCTGCAATGAAGGCATGTACTCGTTCATGGAGTACTCATGAGTGTGCAGACTTCCGTTCTAGAGCCTTTGCAGTGTGTAATGATGCCATTGTCCACTTTCCATATGCTGAAGACTGAGGGTCGACATAGACCCACAAGAATTGCCTCATTCCTTCGAGTCAGCGACGAAAGACTGAGTCAAGCTCAGGGTCTTTGTAGCCACCAGTCGTCTTTGGTGGTCTAAGAATCTTCTTGATGTCATTGAAGGCTAAAAATGCCTCCTCAATAGTGGGTGAGGGCTTGTAAAACCCTGTTACAGTATCTACTCTAGCCAGTTGACTCGGATGCTTGTGCTCAGGCTCGAGGAGATTTTCTCTTGGTGAATTAGTGTCCTCATGAAGTGGAGAGGGCTCTGGTATTGGTAGCACAAAGGGAGGAGGATCCAATGGTATTGTGGTACTAACCATTTCTCTCCTTTGCCTTTTCTTCTTCAAACTGGATGGAGGGGATACAATAACTTTTGTTGGGACATCCTGTAGCCATTGTGTCAGTATTCGTGTCTGAGGCTGCTAGTTAAATAACTTTTCTTACATTCTCTTTGTCTCCTGAGTGACCAAGTGGCTTTGCCCAACTCCCAAGGTTTGTGACATTGAACAATTTTCATTTCGGCATGATGGAGAGGTAGTGTAGTAGTATTACTTAGTTCTATTGTTTGCTGCTAATTCCTAAAGTGGAACACATCTCAAGTAGCTGATAAAATTGAAATGCTATCTCTGCTCTCAGTTTGAGAGGTATTCAAATTTTAAAACCTAGGTCCTCTGGGGATGTACTTAAGTCAACTTTCCTAGGTTTCACATTGGCAAACAAAGATGAATTGAAGGACGAGATGCAATTCTGGCACTTTTGTCATGAAATGTCACGATTTTGATCACATGATCAAGCAAAGTATGACTGAGGTCTATCTTATGAGATTGGCAGGATACAAGCCCAATGCCGATCCGAGTGCTACACTGTTTTTATGTACAGGTAAAGTAGGAAAGATGAAAATGATCCTAAGACCTTTTGATGTTCGGCTGATGACATGCAAACATTTGAAATGATGTGCTCGTACCTAATCCGACGTATCTGATGTGCCTTTCAACAATATCTGCAATCTAAACCTGTAACAATATAAGAATAACAGTAATGGTCATTCTAATGTTAATTTGTATATAATTTGATTCCCATGGGCTACTGTAGTGAATGTAGTGATACAATGTGTTCTACAAGGTCTATTATAACTGAGCTACATCATATATGTGAGCCTACTACATAGAGGAGCAGGGCGAGGCTTGGGGTAGCTAGAAAACATTGATATTATGAAACTTCCAATTAGGTTATGTTTTGGGTGGTAGTGGATAGCAATTACTGCTTTCAGGAGATAAATAATATTGTATGTAAATAGTAAATATCCAACACTATTAAGCTACTAGGCACCATTGCTGGCAATGACCTTGCTTTTGTTTGTAATTGGAAAGACAAAGGGAACAAGCACACTTGAAACAGTATTTTGGAAGGGGTCACAATTATAGCAAATGTATGAGCAAAACAGAGAATGTGGAAAATGCTGTTATTTGCAGTTGTGGACAATTTGCAGAATCAATAGGTTGACATATGACCTTGCAAGCAAGGTGATTGATTGGCAGTGTAGGGCACATTAAGATTCTATTCTAGTTAGAATGGTGTACCACTGAAAATTTGGCATTCTAAATAAGTTCTGATTATGTGAGGAGGCATGATTAGAAAAGTTTCAAAGCACAAACAATGCAAGGAGAAATCAATCAAGAACAAATTTATATTTTTGCTGTGTGCAAATAATGTTGACATTTTTGGAGCTGCTGTGTTCAAATGACAAGATGACACAAATGAAAAGGTCACTAAGACATTGATGGTGTACTCACAACAATGAATCAAGTAAAGTGGTGTTATCTTTGATGAGGGTAGGGACTCCATAATGATGTCAGTTGCAGTCACACAAAACTATGACTGATGACCATGTTGAGTTCTGAGAGAGCTAAGCTCTCAAAGGCTAATGGATCCAAGATATGATAGCAAGTGCATGCCAAAGCAGAAATGAATGAGCACATCTTGACACCAGCTTGTGTCCTTCCTTATTTTTCTTGTCTTTGATTCATATACCAGTCCTTGTGTTCCTATTCTAATTACCTTATAGCTACAGGCAGACCCATAGATGCATCTCAGTTCTGTCCCAGATACTAAGATGTGAGTACCAGCACTTAGTTCAAGTTGTATGTCACACATAGCTAATGTTTTCATAGCAGTTCTATTCTGTTAGTGTTGGACTTAGTGTTTGGTGACGAGCTTGACTTGGAAGGAGCTGAAGGAGTGGCTGAAACCTTAAATTGTTGGTGGTACATACAGTAGATATTTTTACATGTATGCTACGTGTTTGCAACCGATTCACTGTGCTACAAGCTGCCAAAAATCCTATAGTTAGCTCCCTCCATCCTGTCTGCTCACCTCTGATCACTAGAGACAAATGAGCTAGTACTGTCACAGTTATCATCTATGAATTTGTATTATAAAAGCAGATTTGAACTTTTGAATTAGATGAAGTTGGTTAAGTAAGCACATGCAAGATGCACACTGGTGGATGCCACTCCAAATTCATCATAAGATTATATATTGTAGACTATGAGAGAGATACACCTTTTGAGGCAACAGCATCTATGAGATGAAACTATGCATTGAAGCCCAGCATGTTCACACCCACTGTATCAGCTCAAGGATAGGTTTTGAACTTACAACATCCCTGAGAAACTCTGTTATGGTAACCACAATAGCTATGCACTTCTGAAGTTTAGATCTAGAGCTGTCCATGAGTGAATTTCAAGGTGTAATGACAGGTTGGAACCACACCACCTGAGATCAATCTGTTCTGGTGCCACTTGGCTATGACTAATTAAGATAGACCTTGAAAAGTTCACCTACGTGAATAACCAAGGCATGGTAAGAGGAAAAGGCTATTGAGCAAGCAACAGATTTCTGCCTTGCCATGCTTACTACTTGGCTAAGACTGATCAAGATGGACGGTCTACGGGTCGCACAACATCATGCATTGACAGTAGAATCATACAAGGTCAGTAGTCATTTCCCAACGCAAAACGAACTGAATATTCCGCCCAGAACTTCCTCAACGCCGACATCTAATCCAGAAACAGAACCAATCGCACGAGCTGCATAACGTAGGGATTCTGCGGCGATGTCTACTTCCGAAGGAGCTGTGAAGTCGAGCAGAATTGGTAGGATGCATCAGTGAAGCATAACAAATGTACTTACAGAAGGCGATGAATTCTTCCAAGTGCATGACAGATCGCTCAAGCATATCTCTATGGCGAGCATGCGTGATGAGCGGGCTGGTGTAATCGAAACCATCGCTGTATCTATCAAGGAAAGTCAGGATGTCCATCCAGCCAGTAGATATCGGACCTGTGTAAAGTACCTTGATCGTAAAACTTGTGCGAGGCCATCTAGAAACGGCTGAGTGCCCTCTGATGTGCGAAGACTTGCTGTCCAGAACTGGGGTCGTTTGCTGTTATCATAGTTATTGCCATACTCCGTGAAAGTGAGAGGCTGGTTGAGAGGAAGGCTCGCGATAGTATCAGATTTGTTCAACAAAAAAAGGGTATCTGGTTTCAAGTGGTTCTTGACCTCATCCGGGACTCGAACCAGGGCATTGTCTCGAGAGGATAAAACATCAGGAAGAGATAGAACACAAAGAGACAGATCAGCCTCCTTGACGCTGAGCGAACCATTAACAAAAGGGTATAGTGTATTATGACTTGCACATACGCGTTACCTGCACGACCCACCCCTACCTGTTCTACAGTGTCCAATGTTTCTCGCAGGCCAGCAGTGTCGCTCAGAACGACTGGGAAACCTCCAATGTCCAAGGTGAGCGTGAGCACATCTCGCGTAGTTCCTGGAATGGGTGATGTAATAGCCGCATCACGCTGAGCTACAATCAAGTATTTGAATTAAGGTCTCGAAAAGCGCGACTTTAAGGACTTGCCAAGGAAATTAAACAAGCTACTCTTGCCAGCATTCGGAGGTCCAAATATCGCAAGTTTTATTCCAGAGCGCAGAATCTCCCCACGACGGTTGTCATGCAGGTGAGATCGAATGCTGTTGATGATATTCAATGCACGATTATGAGCTAATATACTTGAGATGAAATTGCAAATGAGCCTGTAGAGGACTTGCCCTCTCTAATCATCGCTTCCTGTCCAAGTTCGTCCACATCCTCGCCAAAATCGATAAAACCTTCAACAAAAACTAAACATTCCAGTATCTGTGACCTCAGTGCAGCATATCGCGCTCTCGCAGCCCCCTAGGAACATCTGGAGTAAGTTGTAAGTCCTAAAATCAGTAATAACTGCTACCTCAGCTCCGCTGACAGCAACCCTTCTTTGAGCTTCTGTTTCAGCATCTATCAAGTCGCGCAGACCCTCGACTTGGGTGAGATCAAGTCGGCCACCCTCGAAGGCACGTCTCGTAAATTCGCCTGGGACAGCGGGCCGACAGTATGGTAGTTTAGCAAGTGCACGTAACACTGCAGAGAGCACTGCTCGCCCAGAGTGGATGTGAAGCTCAAGAGTGTCTTCGGTGGTGAATGATTTTGGACCTAATGCACATAACCAAATATCCCGCGACCTATAGAAAATAATCAGAACTTACCCTTGAAGAAGACAGTCAAGCTGTCATCGAGTCTCTCTTCGGTCTCTGGGTCGACGACGTGTCTGCGCTGGAACATCCATGGTGTCGGTGCGGCTCCAGACTTATTTTTGCGCGTCATTCGTTGCCAGACGTCAAGGGCGTCGGGTCCAGAAATCCGAATGACAGCTATACCTGCCTTCCCAGGTGGAGTGGAGAGTGCGTATATAGTTCTACGCTGCGCATCAGAGAGTGTAGCCTCAGACTTGGCGCAGAGTGTTGTATGAGTACAACTGGCATACCCAGTCGCATCAAGCCGTGATGATGACCTGTTGAGGCGATGTAATCTGCAATTCCAGCGGAAACTTCTATGTAGAACGGCCGATGCAAGGTTTGGGATCAGTAGGGTGGAGTTATTTTCCCGAAATTGAACCTGTCTCCGTTGTATCCGTGGATCCTTCACAGCTTTCTGAGTGATACTGGCTCGCCATTGTCGCAACATTCACTGCCCTCGAATTCCAGCTAGCCGTTAGTCGCGACCAGTACTATGGTATGATGACAGAAGGCGTACAAAGAGTTGTCGTAATTTCTCACGACTACATATTAATACAGCTTGCCCTTACCTCTCATCACCGAGCACAAGATCTAACCGAACCGACTTATCCCATCCTTGTCATACAATCACATAGGATTGCCCAGTTTAATTAGGAGCCATGGGTCAAACACGTTTGTTTATCAGATTTCCCATGACGCATTCATCTTCCACTCACCCCGCGATGAACAGCGTCACAGTTCATGGAGGACATGCAGAAGCGGTCCAACTGTACGTTCTGTGTTCCAAACCACTTCTGCTCTGCGATACTCATTTGACTGTGCTTCACAGTCACATCCGCTGAACTGGAAAGATTGAAGAAACGCTTTATGAAGCTAGACAGGTCTATATCACTTCTCCAATTGACTATCATCACCACCGATCTCATAATGCACATTGCATATACAGTGATGGCTCAGGCTCCATAGATCGAGAAGAATTTCTGCAAATACCACAAATAGCTACCAACCCATTAGCCTCGAGGATGATCGCAATCTTTGACGAAGAGTGCGTCCACGAATTTCCGTGGCCGACTCATAATTTAATTCTTACGCAGTGGAGGAGGGACCGTGGATTTCCAAGAATTCGTGGGTGGATTGAGCGCATTTAGCAGTCGAGGAGGGCGAGAAGAGAAGCTACGATGTGCGTCTCCCATTTTGGTTCATCAACCTGACCTCACGTCGTGATATCAAGTCGCTTTCAAAGTTTATGATGTGGATCGAGATGGTTTCATCTCCAATGGAGAGCTGTTTCTGGTATTGAAAATGATGGTTGGGAACAATCTTAAGGTCTGTCCGCGCTTACCCAACGATTTTGGAACTCGTTGTAATCATTCTTTGAAACAGGACCAACAACTGCAGCAGATAGTTGACAAGACGATCATGGAAGGCGATTTAGATCGTGACGGAAAACTTAGCTTCGAAGAGTTTGCCCAGATGGTGTCAAACACGGTTGGGGACATTTCTCTCGCTTCACTGCTGATGCTCAGTCTTTTTACCCTTAGGACATTGTCAAGCAGATGACGCTTGAAGACCTTTTCTGACAGCTTCAGCGCCGACGGACATTCACGCCTCCTCATACCCCCGCTGTGTCCGTCACGGTCGTCTGTTGCATAATTATCCATTTCCCATATAGTGGCAACTTACATGTAGTATCGCCTTTGTTGTAGAGTATAGTTTCGGTCTCAGATCACCCTAACACAAATCACGGTACGTGAAAGCCGCTGGGATCCCAGGAAAGAGCACTACTGTATGTCACTCATCAACAGAACTCGAATGACCACCTGAATAAACCACCTGAATAAAATTACAAGCGTGAATGCAAAACCCGTAAATCAGGTCTTTACTATTCAGTTTCAGGGTTTTGTCTACGCTCTGGGATTTTTTGATTAGCCGATCAGGCGAGCTGCTGGTAACACCAAGCACTCACTGGACAAACCAGATCTGATCAGGAGGGACGCAATTGCCTCCATGAACATTCTGTGTCGAATGGTAGTTCAATATTTGCGGCACATTCAACGACGTTAGTCTACATGTTTGAGTCAGACACTAAAATCGAGCACGACTCACGAGGGAAGTCTTACCCAGTTGGTTCTGCAGTACGCCTCGGCGTAGCTGGCCTGGTTCATGAAGAACGTCTGGTAAATTGATGGCATATAAATAGCAGATCCACTCTACGAAGTTCAAAGTATCAGTGTAGATCCTCAAGAGACCACGTTTCTTTAACGTACTGATACTAAAAAGAGCTCTTGAACATCAGATGCCATTAGTAGAGAATCGAAAGAGAGATAAACCAACATTATTCACCGATATTCTGACTATCATAAACGAGATCATTTGAGATGACTTGATATCATAACGGGTTGGACCACCACCGGAGGGAGTAAAGTAGTCGGCAGTACCTTAAATGGGATGGAACAAGCTTGAAAAAGTCCAGAAGACAATAGCATTGTGTACACACAGGTATCGGGGCAGACATTTGTCTGATGCGTTCCAAGATCGCGCGCTTCATCTGCGACGGCACCAAACGTGGCAGCAGTAAAGAACGAAGGAAGAGCTGCATATCACAGAGCTCGAAACAAAGAAGTTCGAAGAAGCTGGCAACGTTAACGTGACCGAGGGTTTCGTAAGTATTTGTTGTCCAGTGTCAGTCATTTTCAAATTCTCAGTGCGAGGCTCGGAAACATTCCAGCCTCGCTACTTTCTACGCCGATGTCTGAACGAAAAACGTTGCAGCACCTGGTAAATTCCTCTCGGATCTTGGCTACCAAGTCCCACCTAAAACCATTGTGTCTGCCGTTGATCGCGGCGGCCAGCGCTGGCTCATGTGACTAGTTCAGGGCTTCATCTAAAAATTTTAATGAAGGAACTCACTAGCTATTACCCCCTCATAGAAACTGAGAGACGCCTTGCCTACTAGTACACCGCAACGAGTTAGTTCGGCTGAAAACTGTGCATTAAATTAGTGTCAATGAGCAGATAATGATCCGGAGCAAATTATATCGGGCTGGACCAGAAATAGAACCTAAAAACGCCTTAGATCCCTGGTGGCACCGCAATGCAGGCAGTTGGCCCAACATAGTAAGGTCTGAGGAGGTTGCCAGTCGTGACAACATCTGGATGTTTGAACTCGGCGAAGCTGACAATGTTTTCACGATCCAGATGAAGACAAAGAATAAACTCACAACACACAGCGCCCGTGTTAAGCCACAATTTTACACCAACAAAGATCCGCGTAAACAGAGATATCATACAAGTTGAATTTATGCTGAGTTATACAAATACAGCACACCATCTTTTACTCTTCGTCTGGCATTCTCGATGAATCCGCACTGGTTCGGAGGTTTACAAGCTCAATCACCAATGAGGAGTGCACAGGCTCAGACCCGGGCCTTGCAAAGCGGCCTCTCATGTTGAGTAGAAGACGGTTGCAGAGTAAGGATGGCAAAACAATAGACCAACTGTCAATTTGTTTTAGAAATGTAACACAGAGGAAGACAGAGACCCACGGCATGAAGAGGTCGATATAGGAGGGATACCGAGCCCAGACAATAGTTGATCCCATTAGTTCTATGAAGATTCTGTAGATGCTAAATAGTAAGTAAACCGTAACAACCATGTAGAGGCTGAGAGACATACACGAGAAAGTATAATAAACTTGAGTAGTCGTTAGCATATCTCGTCAAAGATAACAACTACCAACCTATCACGGGCCAGAAACATTGCAAGTTCACTGCGCTGCTGTCGGTCCAGAAAAACTTTCTTGAGGACAAGTATACAAATGATAGGTTCAAGGATCAGCGCTGGCGTCCAAAATATTGCAGAGAGTGGAGCAAGACCATCAAAAAGACAGCCCGCTGGAGTAGAAACTACTGGAAATCCTGTAAGTGGTTCATTCAGTCGATTCTACAATGAAAATCGCTAGACTCACTTTCCACACGAGTGATCGTCAAGCCAATGAGGAGCGCCATTGCTGCGAGCTCGATTATACTCAGGACAATCATCCAAGAGAGTACCCTGCGACTTCTATTATAAATTGCCCATACCTTGAAGGATGTTAGTTGTCGACTTTTCGTAGGAAACCGCCGTACTCCCTCTAAGCTGCAGTATTGCTGATACAAAGGTTCAATGGTGATGGTTGTACATGGGGTGTATACTTACTTTGAACGGAAATAGTCATAAGGAGTGCACTGTCGAATCATGAGTAAGACATCAAGAGAAAGTGACCCGCGACTTACATGGTATTGTTGCATATCAGGTAGGTGACGCAACTAGGCCAGAGGAGGAAGTCAACCTTATGGGTGTCTTAGTAACACGAACATACGTCTTGGTGAATGGTTAGCGTAAGACGGTGGAAGGGTGTGCGAAAAGAATCACTTTGGATGATATCGCATTATAAGGGTTTTGTTGTACTTTGAATACTAGTCAACAGAATTAGCAGTGATCAACAGTTCCCACTCACTCATGTCGAATGTGAGCCATACCGCCGGAAGCCAGCGGTTCTCGAGAGCGCATTAGTATAATACACATTCTTCTTTATCATACAAACTCACAAAATGATAGAGACATGTCACCCAACTTTTCTTCTTCAACCATATCAGATCAATCTGCCAAACCGAAACTCAATAGCTGCAGTCGCTGGAACCAGATTGACAGTTTACCTCGTCCTCGATAGTGATGACTACCAGAAATGAGAGTCAGCGAGTAAAATACATCGAAAAAACTCCTTACTGTGTTCATAAATGAGAAGTCCCAGCGCTGCAGCTCGTGATTGCTTCCCAATGTTCACTGATTGACATATGTTCATCAGTAAACAGCTCAAGGAACGAGTCGCAATAACCAACAAGCTCGCCTAGCAGACAGAGAAATCAAGGTCGTGTCCAACATGAATCAAACAGCTGGAAATATCGGTAGGATGGCATATGAAGCAGAGCCGGCTTTAAGACTCGGTACGCGAAAAACAAAGGCTGAGCTCAGCCGCGAGGCAAACATATGTGGTCACTGCTTGATCGCAGCCCCAATCCGGTTGGATGCCATGTAGTATGGATAAAACGGAGCCGATTACGTAGCGGGTTCTGGAGTTCTCGCTCCAAAAAGTTCAAAATTGCCGGCAGGAAAATCATGAAGCTTGACTAATACTGTTCGTGCCGAGTCCTCGAGGCAGGTCACCGGCAACTCGGGACAATGCTTTCAACCAAGCTTAACATACCGAGCATAACTGCATTGTGAGCGGAGAAATGTACGCCGAGAACCTTGATGACATTTGCTGTGCAAGTTTTAGAAGTGTACCGATCGAAAAATTGATTGACTGTTGGCACATGCTTCCAGGACCCTGACCAGGCACACGGCATAATGTAAGCAAATGCTGCCATCTCAGTGTGAAAAATAGTCGCATAAATTTTTTCAGAGGGCAGATACGACTCGGAGCAGTGAGCGCATACACATGTGCCGTTGATAATCGTTATTGCCGTTTCCATAATCGGATAAGGGTTGATTGGCACTGCTTCAATGACACCCAAGTTCCCGACTGCCACTAGTTCATGTTCACGATTGCCGCTTTGCTTTTTTACCCTCCTAGTAAGGTAGTTCACAATGAGCAAACGTGGAGAGGTCATTGATAGAAACATTCTTACTGGCTCACTCTCGCTGATATCCATCTCGTCATCACGTTCTCTTTTCAAGATAGCGGAGTCCATATTTATCGCACCTTCATCGAACCCCGAAGACTGTCTGGGAATAGGGCAACGCCATGTACTTATCTTTGAATCCTCGCCTCCCGTGACGAGAATTTCATGCTATGTTACAAGTGAGCATCAGATATCACCGCACCAAGAAAACGTACGTTTTCATCCCAGAAGACTGAACGGACCACTCCAGTGTGACCCTTGGCCCATACCGAATTTATTGCCCATGGCACAGATGAGTCTGTCACATCTGAACTCGAGAGAAGGGCCACATCACCCCTGTGCAGAAGTGTTAAATTGCGAATTACGGTCACGATATGTCACACACTCGTTCGAGCCAACAAATACAGCGAGGTTACTGTCAGATCGTTTTGTATTGTGACATGTTATCAAATAGTCGGTAACCCAAGATCGCCCATGGCTATGAACGGAGGGGTGGCGAATGTCACAGTTCTGCAACATGTCAAGCTTTTGCGCGGCATCATGAGGAATAAATAGATTGACGGGTGATTGGAATGTACCTCATCTGACCAGCAGCTGAATGTTTCCATATCACTTGCAGCCCAGACACGATTGGTGGACGAGTTGCGGGTCCATCCTGCTTGAGAGATGCTACAACCCCAACTCCCAACGTTCAGAACTGCTTCATCCTCATCATCTTCCGCGGAATTTGATGTGCTAACCAAGCCATCAGTGGAAGCTGATAGCAAGATCTGTGCAGATGTTGGAGACGGGCAATTTTTCAGAAAGCGCACTGCAGTGATGTCGTCCGAATGTGTTGAGCCGTGAACACGGAGTGGTACAGATGATTTCCGAGGATCCCTTTGATCTCGCATTGAAGTTCACAGTCTTATAAAGAATGGTAGGACCTACCAGTAGAGTATAAATGCGTCCTCCTTCTGTAGGGCCGTTCCCGCAGCAACAGTCAAGCCATCATGAGAAGCATCACAAGACAAAACGGTACTAGATCTCCCAGATGTTGTCACTAGTTACAAATAATACTCTTGAGTTGTCGAACACGAAGGTCCAGTGGTAAAGTATGAAAAACATACTTTGTATGGTCGGAGCGCCAGAACGTTCATCCCAAGCAATCACACACCCATCCTTACCAGCAGATAGAAGTGTATGCCGGTCAGACCCCCCGATGCTTCTGACGGTTCGCAAGGCTGTGGTAGCGTTTTGATGGCCTTTAAGTGTCTGGACGCATTTCAAGAATGACTTGTCAAAAAGATGAATTGCATTTGACGGAGCAGAAGCAGAAGAAACATAGTAATTTCCCAACGATGTTAGTGCAAGAACATAGCTTCCACCAGGGTGAGTGGTGGACTTTATTTCGGAAGAGATTGTCTCGAATGAAGGAGACTCGAATAACGACATGACTGCACTTTTGCAATGGACCTTCCAGAATCCAGATCCAGACCACGTGTAAATCAAGATCACGTCAGCAGATTATCTAGCCTCACTACGTACGAACTTTCCCTCGTCATCGTCATACCTTTATTTCTTTACCACCACTTGCAATTGCAAGCGTCTAGATCCTGTTCCACCGCAGCTGTTTTTCTTTTCGACCAAAACACCCACGCTCTTTTCAATCTACAGTCCTTTCCTCGTTTCCCTCTAAAGATTCTCAAACCTTGAGAATCTATTAGCCTAGACCAAGAACAAGCATTTCACTTCATTGCTTTCTAGTCTACTCCCACCTTCAATATGACTCGTCGGGGTGAGTATTTGAACGCCTGAATCTCGCGTGCGAAGACTCAATGCATCATACAGCTCCTCGTATCCACCGTCTCCCACAGCGTCTTGACTACAACCTGATTCCTGCGCCTCTGGGTACGTGTGAATTCATAACTCGAGTCGTAACACTAATGAGATTCTTGCAGATCTATCTCTTCCGCTGGCTACGGAAAAGTCTTCTTTGCCAGCCATCATCGTTACCCCATCATCTCCAGCAGCCGACGCACCCGAGTACTACATAGCGTTCTTAAAACCGCCTCCTAAGCCTACGTTTCGTGAACGCATATCCGAGTATTCCCCTTTCCAGCCACATTTACCCCTGAAGGCTCGGAGCGCTATCATCGTCTCCCTCATTCTCTTCATTCTGGTTTGCCACCTTCTGGTGCACCTTGCTGTCCGCCGTCCACACTTCGATTTCATCGCATCCTCTGATAATATCTCGTCACTCAAAGCGAATTATCATCAAGCCCAAAATTCGTTCTTGGACTCATTTGCTTTATATCTCAAATTCTTTTGGAGTGGACCAGTGGCTGGAGATGCGCGAAATTTCATAATCGAAGATTTTTCACAGCCAGCCTATCGGTAAATGTGGCAGGTTCGCCATTTTTCAGTATATAGACCTTGATACAAAGTCTGTGCAATCTTCCCATGCATTTACTGACAGTGATATATCAAAGTCATCTTTGACCGAACTGACTTGTTTACAGTCTCATTACATTCCTTTCGTTTATATTTATCTGGTCGTGGAAGTCGAAATGTTTAGCTAAACTTTCCCCTGTATCGTGATAACTGCACAGGAAACTCTGTTTTGTATTCAGTACCTGGACCATTCTACACAGCGACGTCAGGTCTGTAATGTCCTGATTATGCGCTCTCTAGGTTCGACACCTGTCCAGTTGGGTTCCCATGTATCGGCAACCAATACATTACCTTCAAACAATTTATCGATACTTCCAAGATACTTCGATACTTTTCGCGGTTTCTCGCAGTAAGCCGCGTCTCCTTCAAGTTGAAGCCCTTCATGGTGATGCAACTATAACAGTCGTACATCTCTCCGGAACGCGGATAACGTTCACTCGGCCAATTTGCAAATACGCTTCGAATCAAAGTTCATGTGGAGTTTCTGTCGTAATTATTGTGCCTTACTCATGCTCGCTTCGTTTTTCGTGTGTTACAGCTGTCTTCAACAACGTCTTATTGAGTACGACGGTGTTGCTAACACCAAGCATAATCCATTCGTTCCTTCGGCTAGTTCACAACATTCATTTTTTCTCCTCACTCTCGCTATTCGGGCAGGACAGGATCGAACATGTCTCAGCTAGAAGCCATGGCTAGATCTATATCTGACTCGGAGTGTTGCTCATTATCGTCCTCGGGGACCATCTTGGGGAATATTGACCCCCTTCCTCCTCTGGATCAACCTGTCATGGCCATTGCACCCATTTTGTTTTCTGGTCATGTGGACCTGTTTAACTCCCCCTTTCCACCCATGATCCCATCAATTACGTCATGGTGATTTCGTTGCCTTTTCCGTTGGGAGTACCTGTAATTCCAACATCATTTTTGCTGTCTTTATTTGCGACCAGCAGCCGCACCATATCACGCGTCGTGGCCGTACGAAGAGGCGATTTTAATAAGAATAAAGATAAATCTCATCAGATGATGATACCGTACCGCATCTTCCGCAACCTGTGCCACTGACTTTAAACGTGGTGGGCAAGACAAGACAACAGTCAAGACCGAATACAGCGGAACACCACCTGGTCATACAGCAATCATAGCTGCGCCGGACATATATGCTCGGACAACAACCGTCACGTCATATTATACGTCAAGTCAGTACGACGCCGCCAGTCTTACAGTAGCAATTGCGAGGTATGCTCCAAAAGCCAGGATCAATATGCAATTGATGTTTGAGCTTCATTTAGCTGCACTATCACTTCGTCACTACGTCAGTTTCATCATCGTCATAGGACTACAACAACTCGTTTCGCAAACTTCGGCAGTGATGGTGACCATCACCTCCGAATGGACCTCCGGGTTACACACTTATCAACAATGGCACTGAGAAGCACTAGTCCTGAGAGTGTTCAACCATTACTCACTGGAACTGTCGCGTCTGTTCCGTCCACACAAGTCCAAGTAAGCATTTGCGCACATCTGGAAGGGTATTTGATTAGCGATCAGGATGCCGCTCTCAAGGGGACAGTTCGAAGCCCATGAGCGAGGTGCTGTTAGACTCTTTTGCACATGGGTCTTTCGCAGTTTCTTCACTGTTCGGTAAACCTGAACCGAACAACCACTTTGCAGTATTTAGCAAAAGCCTCAGCCTTACATTGCACACGGGCGATAACTCGGAGTCGAATGTTTTTATCCCCATTCAATGCTTGGATGTCGACACACTCGTCGTATTTTTCTCCGACCGGTCATTTTCACGAGAGATACCCCACCTAACACGTCGGCAGAAGACACAACAGAAAAGTCATCACTGGTCTTTCACACTGATAGTGAACGTTTGAGAGCTCTGTTGGACGATGTATGTAGTACTTCGATAGGGACAGTTGAAAATTGTTGATAACATCTCAACGCTATGGTCCATTCGGTTGTAAATACGTTTGTTCAACTTGGTTGTGCGTAGACCTACTAGTCATAATCTTCAAGCTTCAGCACCGGACATTGGCGTGGGAATGCGTGCAGTACTTATAGAAAGGACGCCACTTTTGGGTTACTCTGTTATATACATACCTCAAAAAGCTAGTGCTGGTTCTTGCTTGGTTGTCCTTGGTCGTCATTCCAGCTTGTGACCTGCTAGTCATGGATGCGTTATTTGTCCCTCTCGCATCTGCCATCGGTGCATCCGTGGACCAGATCAAGGTTGGGAGCAATCTTGCGACACACATATACCATGGCTAAAAAAATTGTCAGCTCATCTCATGTCTACTAATAGCATGCCCCCTAGGAAGTCTCTTCATCCGTATACCAGCATCTCAGCCCAATCTCAAGCATCTCTTCAATCTACTCGTCTCGGTTTTCTTTTTCATACCAGTTTTAAACCTGTCATGGGGCTTCGTCCAGCTATTAGGGAGTGTTCTTGGAACGTATTACATTGCGGCTAATGTAAAAGGCTCCAACATGCCGTGGATAGTTTTCGCGTATGTTTACCCTCTTAACTCTGGAAATATCTGCTCACCAAACTTTCTGCAGTTTCGTCATGGGTCATCTCACAGTCAAGTAAGGGATATACAAGTAAGACGCGTTTGCACGGGAGGCTGATATATACCCATTTCAAGCCACGTCATACGAGCATTTTACAACCTAAGCTATGAAACCTTTGAGGTTACAGGGCCTCAAATGGTGCTGACTATGAAACTCACGACCTTTGCATGGAATGTCTGGGATGGTAGAACGGCCCCTGAAGTAAGCCCCTACTGCACGCTAAAAATTCTCCTAAAACTTAGTTGCACAAATCTAGAATCTGGACAAATGGCAATTACAAAAGCGTGTCACAAAATATCCCACACTACTCGAGTTTCTTGGTTATTCGTGAGTTTTATTTGATGCGTTTTGTCTCCGGTTGACGGATTTTTGCATAGCTTTTATTTCCCGGGTGTTCTAGTCGGGCCATATCTTGACTACGCGTCATACATCTCCTTGATCGATGAATCACTCTTCGAAGGCAAGCGCAGTCCTAGTTCAACAAGGTCCATTCCGGACGGCAGAAAGCGAGTCGCATATCGCAAGATGTTAACTGGTTTGGTCTTCTTGGGAATCTTTGTGGTTTTGAGTCCCTCATTCTACTACGCCATCGTGATCACCCCGTGGTTTATGACCCAAGGATTTCTCTACAGGTCCGTCTCAATACGTTCGATCGAATACTTTTCTGACGTTTTTGGATGCAGGATGGTATATTTCCAGCTTTCTGGTTTCATCGAGCGGTCTAAGTACTATGCGATCTGGACGCTCACAGAGGTGCGGTTCGTGTCCTATCGTAGACGCGATGCTAACACAGGCGACTAGGGTGCGAGTATTCTGACAGGATTAGGGTTTACTGGGTATGGCCCTTCAGGCGAATCCACATGGGAAGGTGCCGCCAACGTCAAAGTCCTCGAGATTGAGCTCCCTTCGAACTTCAAAGTTCTGCTTGATTCATGGAATATCAACACGAACATCTGGCTCAGGGAATGTATATACAAACGTGTAACCCCCAAAGGGAAGAAGCCTGGCTTTCGCAGCAGCATGTTGACTTTTGCGACGAGCGCCTTCTGGGTAGGTGCTTAGTTATGCTATGCATAAGCTGTGCTAATTTTGTTATAGCATGGCATTGCGACAGGCTACTACCTGACTTTCTTCTTCGGTGGATTCATCACTACTGCAGGCCGTCTCTGCCGTGCCAACCTACGTCCATTCGTCCTCCCCCCTCCAGGAGCACCCACAACAGTCACGAAACGCAGTTACGATTTGACCGGAACTTTCGTCAGCATCCTCATTCTGAACTACGTGGCAGCGCCGTTTATGCTGCTAAACTTTACTGATTCTATCGAGGCTTGGCGTCGGCTCCATTGGTACGGCTTTTGGATGATTGGCTCGACACTCGCTTTCTTCTGGCTTGGTGGCTCCACGTTCTTGAAGGCTCTACAGAAGAAGGAAGGAAAAATCGCTGAGAAGGCCGTGACGCCGGAATCTCATGTCATGCCACCATCTCTGGATGATATGGCAGAGGAGCTGAAGGAATTACAGCACAGGATGAAAGAGTAGGCCGAGCTTGCATACTTATCTAGACGGGCTCCAACAATTGATACCTATGTTCAATCAAGACTTTGCATACCGTCTCGAACTTCTAGATCATATTTCAGCCCTAAATATAGCATTTCTCAAGTAGGGCATTCCCAGTAGAGACGCGCGCTCGAACATAAGCAATGCATAGGTGGGGGGGGGGGGCATACAGGGCTCAAAAGATGGAGAAATGATGGTTTGTAGTATACCCATAATGCATATGTGACCACACAGAGATTGCAACGCCTTCCATGCTGCCACCAATGAATATTTTGTGAGCTTCTTATACTTTGAAGCCACGAGACTTTCGGCGACCACGGGCCCGCTCGAACTGAGGAAAATGTGAGATATAAACACCTTGAAGTAATTATTGACACGTACTTTGCGACCCTTGGAGATGGTGTAAGGCTTCTTGTTCTTGTGGGGACCCATGCCAAAGTGCTTGACAGCCTCGCGAGTGTTCCTCTTTCCCCGGAGCAACACAGTGTTGGACCCTGTTGGTGCGCGAAGTGCGAGCTGATCCAGCGTCAATGCCTCACCACCAGCATTGAGAATGCGCTCCTTTGCTGCGCGCGTGAAGCGTAGAGCAGCAACTGAAAGTTTGGGTATTTCGACGAGACGAACGTCATCGGTCACAGTGCCAACGACCACGATAACTTTTGAGTCACGATCAGGAGTGGCAGTGGTTTCTTTAACAATTCTTGACAAAGAGAGGGGAGGACGGTTGATTTTGGAGAGGAAGAGGCGGTGGAGGATAGCCTAAGTAAAAATCATGCTTCAGTCAAACGCCTGAACCACACGTAAATTTATTCAACCTTGTTGAAATCCGAGTCTGTACGGCGGGCCAAAAATCTGTAGAGCTGAACAACATTTAGATTGAGCTTTTGCACATACTAAACATACATACTTTGACGAGCAAAAGGAGGTAAGGATCCTCGCTTTTGGGGGCCGTCCGCTGGGCCTTCTTGACGTGGTGTTTCTTGAGGTCGATACCCTAGTAAGATGCACATCTCAGTATAATCTCCAGGCGCTATTTGGGACCACGAGCTCACCATCTTGATCTTGCCGATTTGTACTGTTCGGGGACGGTGTACAGACAACAACGGAGGCTTGAGGAACTGTGCAGGACAAGCAGATAAGGTTTGATTTTCGGCATTTCGCGGAAGATGAAATTGAATATTTGCATCTGAGACAAACAACAAACAAACAACGCCAAATTTTTCTTCAACTTCAACTGCCATGGTGTGTCGCATTTTCGGCGCCCAAGCCAACTTTTTCTAACTTTTTTGTTTTCCTGTAGGATCAATACGGAGAACCAACTGCTCCTTCAGTGGACCCTTACTCAGATGCCTACAATGCACCTGCACCCACTGCTACATCAGAATCCAGAGACCGGGACGCCGCCCCGCCACGCGGTCGTTCTCGTTCAAGAAGTCCTGGAGCCCGCAGCACCGGTTACCGTAGTCCTACTCAAAAGCGCAGGTCTCCGCCTCCTAAAAAGCCAACACATGCTCCAATTGTACGTTCCACATGTACTCCTCATGTTTTGCAAAGCGCTAATGGGGCAAAGAAGGCGCCCAACCCCTCCCAAGTTTTGGGGGTCTTTGGATTAAGCATTAGGACACAAGAGCGAGATTTGGACGAAGAGTTCTCTCGCTTTGGAAGAGTAGAAAAAGTTACGATTGTGTACGATCAGAGGGTGCGGTGGTTTGCTGTGCATTTCGTTACCCTAACCCACTAAAACGTGCTTTTCAGTCCGACCGCTCCCGTGGTTTCGGCTTTATCAGAATGTCCAGCACTGAAGAAGCTACTCGCTGCATTCAGGAACTCAACGGAGTCGTACGTTTTTCTCCTCATGTGTATACCTTCCTTGCCAATATCTTTCATAGGAACTGAATGGACGTCGTATTCGGGTCGACTATTCTGTCACTGACAGACCGCACGCACCAACCCCCGGCGAATATATGGGACATCGTCGTTCGACTAGGGACACTTACTCAGGCTCAGGGCGCGATTCGTACCACCGCGACTCCTACCGTGACTCATATCGTGACCGCGATCACCGCCGTTCCGATCGCGACAAGGACAGGGACCCTTACGGTCGCGACAGCCGTGATTGGCGCGATCGTCGCAGCCCTCGTCGTTACTCACCTGATTACAGAAGGCGAGGGAGCTACTCCAGGAGTCCTCCTAGGGGTAGTAGCCCTCGCAAGGATTTTGATGGGCCTTCAGGCACTGGTGCGACAAGCTCTTCTAACCAGGCTGAGAACGGTAGTCGTTGGTGATGGTTCATCTGTCAGCGGAAACCATCTTGAAGGTGTGCAAGTTGTGCTCTCTTGTTTCAGTTATCGATGGGCGAAAGCATGGACAAGAGGTCTCGTTCGTACAGGCACAAGTGATTGAAGAGGTTCATGGCGGTCATCCTCCAGCAAGCCTCAAGTTGGCAATGTTCTCGTTACTTCCCTATCTTGAAGAAAGCAAGACATGGTTTCCGCGTTCGCTATTTCAGACAGAAAACCAAGTTCAAAGTTCATTTCATCCTCGACTGTTTGCCTGTATCCGTTCCGCTTTTCATATCGCTCTACTACTTTGTTCTACACTATCAACTTTCGATTCCATGAAGAGTGGCAAGTCCCCGATTGCGATTGCAAGAAAGGTCAGGCACAACAATACTGCAAGTAGCGACTCAGCATATGCAGCCAAGGGAGTGTTGACAGGCTTGTGGAAGGTTTCACAAACCAGGCTGAGCGAAACTTACGTCCACTCATCTTGAATGGTTCGTTCTGACATTAATGCTCAATCAGGGGGCTAGGCATGTATGGCGTTGTCAATCAAGAAGCAATTACCAAGTGCATTTTGCGCAGGGGTTTGATAAAACTCTGCGCTTCGTTGTCGGGAATCTCACGAACTCGTCGTAGCGAAAATTTTGGTCACTACGTCGGATTCGAGTTATTATCGATCATCAGAATGCACCACTTCCGCTGGTTAATCACCTATGCATATGGCGTTGATGCGAACAGTCAAGAACTGGAATAGCATCGTAGAGTAAGACTGCACATATTTCGCCATTACGGGCCGCGGCAGCTGACCTTGAACTCCGATTCAAAGTTTCCTCATGGTGTACGTATGACACTTCCTCGCTATATCTAAAATGTTATCAGCACGCAACGTTTGATCCAGCAGAAGCAATTTGTATCTACCCATGTGCGTGCTCCACCTGAGCTCCTCAAGCTCACTAGCACTATCCGTGTGCGCTCGGCGGTCTCTTGTTTGTGTGCGTTATTTGCTTGTCTCCCCGTCTCTATTGCTCTTGCAATCGTGCTCTACTTTTGTCTTCTGAGCTCCACAGCATTGCAATTCATTTCTCTTCTAACTACGCGGATTCTTGGGGGTTCATCATTACCTGCCTAGCGCCTTCAAGCTGAACCGTCAATCACAAACAGTTTTCCCTGCGACCTGGTTATGCGACAACATTGATATTCAACGGATGTCAAGGGCTGACGCTTCAGAAAGCCATGCTTGACCTGCGCGTTTGCACACGGACAATATTAATACACCACATCTTTCAAGAGTATGACGTCACTAAAACATTCGAACACTATTCCCAAGAGAAGAGGAAAAGACAACAGCAGACGTAACATCCGAAGGTGAGCGGAGCGAAGCCTTGTATATAAAAGGTACTAACTAGTACAAAGCAGCGTCCGTCAGAAAATGTATGAAAGTGATATATCCCAAGTCATTGGACCTGATGGGCAGCAGTAACAGTCCGACCCGTAGGGACAAGAAAACGACCTTCAGGTCCATAGACAACATCGGCATGTGCGAAACGGCACGACTCTGAGGATCTGATATGCGCACGAAGGACGTCGAGGCGGCACTTCACGACCCCACACACGGAGCAGCACGCCTTGACACCGAGGTGAGTAAGGATGTGTCTTGACATGGCTCCCCTCTTGAGCGTCTTGGAGCAACTAGCCCACGGACAACTTGTGCTAGCGTTGTCCGGGCCAGGGATGCTGTGTTCTCGTAGATGGGCGGACACTGCGGTGGTTGTTCCCTCCACAAACATCCCGCAGGGGACTGCCCCTAGTTTACACTCGTATACGACGAGTGGATGACCGCATCGTTCTACTCGATGAAAGGTCTGTGGATCCACGTTCAAGACGTTGAGAGCCATAAAGATGTCGAAAGGATGAAAGGATATGCTATATGTGCAATGGATCAGCGCTGTTCTTTTGGAGACGAATATCAGACGCACCAAAGGGGTGAAGAGTGCTACCAAATAAATTGCGGGTATAGTACCAGAGGAATCACAGTATTGATCAGGCTCGCCTCTTAATCCAAGGGCATTTTAAAGGCTACCGTATTACTCCCTGCCATGGCCAACAAACACGCGAAGTATTGGCAGTTCAATAATAGAATCACATTCTTTGTCTTCACCCAGCCTGAGCCAGTACTAGTCGTGTGTGTCCGATTTGAAATTTGAAACTCTGCTACCACACCCAACGGTATCCGATGTGAGTTCGGCATTGTCAGTTATCTTATCTCGGAGCCTCGATTTTCTATGGAAGCCCGGACACCTCAATTACTAGGCTAGAATTACCACCTATAGTAATCGGACCTAGGGAGATGATATCTATGTCGTAAGAATGTGTTCAAGTAGGTTTTGTGAAAGCTGCCATGGGGTGCCAATTACGTATGGAGTGCACAAATGACCCGGCAAACGCCAATATTATTAGGAATGGGAGACGGGACACAGGACACGCTGAGGCCAGGAAGCTAAAAAAAAAGAGCGCGAAGCGCTCTTTTTTGCTTCCTGTGCCGAAGGCAGAACGGGTGTGTGCTAGTTACGTATGGAGTGCACAAATGACCCGCCAAACGCCATTAAATTCACGTGGACCGATAAGTCATGTCAAGCCTTTGTCGTCCACACGTTAACGAACGCTGTGCATGTTGGACAAGTGTTCTAACTTGAATTCTGGAACATGCAAGATGAATTCGATAGTTAACCTCATCTGGGCTCTTTTCGAAATTTCAAGAAATACTGCTCACATGTTAGTTAAATAAACATGTCTGTCGTTGAACGAGTCTCGTAACGAAGGTGGAACAGAGCTCCAGCTGCCAGAACGGTACGCACTGCTTGTCGTGCTACTGCATCAAAGTTTGGAATAACTGCGGATGCTAGATGAGTCTCAATATTCAATGATGGTTGCGAGATAGGCTGTCCGTGCCAAGCTTAATCCATGATTGCGATTACAAGAGAGTAAGTAATTAGTGACAGATAAACCGTATGCACAGGATCCAGCTGTTGGCAGGCTTGTGGAAGTTTACAAACTAGTACTATGCTGTAGTGTCACAAACTTATGTATCATTCAAACTCTATCACATGCCACAAATACTATAGCAAGGTTGAAACGTTGAAGTACTTGTAGCTCGGGCGTATCACTACTACGGCGATCAGAACGATCATTGGCCGAGTATGCCGAAACGTTGAAGTGTAGCTCGGGCGTATACTACTACGGCAATCAATTAATCATCGGCCGAATGTGCCTTGTTAGCAAATATTCTCAAGCTTCAGGTGGGAAACACGAGTCCCTGGACGTATCAATTACATCAGTGGTGAAGCTTAGCTTAAGACCTCAACCACCGCTCAGTACTCAGTAAGCATATTTCCTCAGTCGAAGCTTACCGCCCTCGCGCAGACCTACCCTCTGCGCTGTCTAAGATGACACGTTCGCGTCACTCCCTCAATCACCCATCGTCGAGCCACCTAACCAGTACTCGATATCCCCGATTTCAACTCCCATCGTGCTCCAGCTCTGACGCCACCAATGAAAATCGCCGCTGCTCCGAATTCTGCTTCCAAGCTCCCTGCAGCATACACCAATTTGGCTTCCTCATCTTCGTGTCCCACCCTTTCCCACAAAACTTGGGTGTGTCGTGTAGTCTCCTTCACAGTATTTTGTTATTTACATATTACGAAATTTTCATCATGAACCAACTTAATTTTTGGTGTCTGCTTGACTGAGTGAGCACTGAGATGTTCGAAGATGCAATATATAAATTATGACTACCAATATTCGACAGGAACATGTATATGGACAGTATGCACGAGGTGGGACTACAAGAAAAAATTCAGGATGCAACGAAAATCGCTGAAGAAGAAAATATGAGGGCGCCTGCCGCGAGGTAGCGGTAAGAGTCAACTGGTGGAGAAAGAGAAAATGTCGACGACGAACGCGAAGGAGATCCGACGCTAGATCTCGACGCGGACGTGATGCGCTGTTCCGAAAAATTTGACCAGCGGCGACGGCATATTCATGGCGAGGCAGGTGCGGAATTGGTTTTAAGGGTCATAGGGAGGACACAAAGAGGTGGCGCCATTCATGAGCACTATAGGAGGATGTTGTAAGTTCATAGAAACAGCTCGGCACCTTCCTCTAGTTTGCGGGGTCCAACCTTCACTGAGCCGTTCTATTTTCGACTCAAGATCTCATTTTTGATTGACCTGATGTGTCCAGGCAATCGAGATTCGAGAAGCCGATCACCCCAGCTATTCTCCACACAAGCCTGAGGTGTACTCTCGAACGAGATGACTTTTCTCCATCACCGCTGCCAAAAGTACTTGTTCTGTGACTTCCCGCAGCGTCAGATACGGTAACGCATTGCTGTGAAACGTAAGCAACTTCCAACTCCGCACGTCACTCTGGGACTCAGTGAAAGTCAGCCATTACATAACTCTCTTTGGAACGTCGGAAAGATCAACAGGCCGCAAGTTGGCCGCAAGTGCAGGAAGCCACATCATCAACTGCTTGCGGTTCTACCCACGCCTATGAAGGACCGCATTGGACAAAAATGTTGACTCAGAAATTCGTAACTCAACTCAAGAATTTGCAACTCAACTCAGTCACGTGGTAACTCAACTCGAGAATTTGCAACTCAACTCGATCACGTGGTAACTCAACATAAATAATCTCATATTGTATTGACACTACCTTCGGAATGTGCATCAAGCCAGCAATGGAGGTCACGGAGAAAGGTATTATTATTTGGCAATGAGCTTTGAAGTACAATGGTATGGAGAGAATAATTTTTTTAATGTTAATGTAAGGCAGTGAGTTTGAGTCAGTGGTAAGCAGACCGTGCAGAAGTGAGTGATTGGCATATGTGAAGCGAGCAAATAATGATAATGCCTGTGGTGGTTGATAAGAGGAAATGATTGATGCAGTAAAGAAAATGAATTAAAAAATGCAACATTATACTGATAATGGAAGGCGTCCATTAAATGAGTCCTCACCAAGCTCTACCAATGCGGTGTGAAGGCATATGCCTAATGGCGATTCATCTACACAGGTGGAAGGGGCAGTAACTAGCCAGTTGATGATTGGAGCATTTGCAAAAATATCCAACCTATGCATACAGGCATGTGCAATCGGTGGAATGAGATCAGTCTCAGGCTAGATAGATGATCAACTATTGTACGAAATAACAATAAGAAAACAGGCTTACATTCAATGCTCCACCAAAGCAAGTGTCCTGTGGCACATTTTGCACGACAATTACCTGTGTATATATAGATGTGATGAGCACTGTCTGGACAAAGAGACGACAATGACAAACCTTGAAGCATGTCGAAGAATCTGAGGGCAAAAGAGGTATGCCACTTAATACTTTCACAAACTGGCGTGCACAGTGATTGGGGTGGATTGCTTCACTATCATCCAGGCCTTCAAACATCGAGTGGGCAGGATGACCAGTTCCCCGCAGATACTCAAGCACAGCGTTCTTGAAAAAATGAAGGTGTGGCGATATTTGAGAGCAAAAGGTACTATCTCCATCAACTTCAAAGCGTAGCATAGACTCGATAGCATCAGCAGAGGGCTGGTGATCATAAATCTGTGGGAGCATTTCGTTGAAGTTCACTTGCAGAATCTAAGAAATTGAAGCTGATTAACAAGAAGATCACAGTAAAGATATGACGTACTTGAGCCAGAGATGGAATGGACGACATTAGATACATATCAAATCCATCTCTGAAAGCCTCGTATTCTCGAGAGCCCAAAAACTGCTCATGGGAATAACCTAGAAGAGCAGCAAATATGAAATCTTTGCGCACAATGGGCCAGCGATCAGGTGGAGTACGTCGGATCTCTGAAAACTAGAATTAAAGCAAAGTCAGTCCAGATGACATCAAAAGAGAACAAAGCTTACGCTGGTGTCCAATCGAGACTGACAGATCCTGGTGATGTGTGACCTGTTCGCTGCATCTACTGGAAGATTAGATGCACTCCCATCTGCAGCGGGCAGAGAGGCAAGAACGTCAGCCAAAGCAGGAGATACAGAGCGCAGCCAAGAGCCATGGTCATTGATCGAGCCTTGATTGGTTAGGGAAGAAGCACCATTGATGATCAAGCTGAAGATAGCTGGTGTAATGGGGTGTGGCGCATTGCACACTTTGAGAAGGTGCAATGCACACAGACGACCTATGGTGAAGACTACAGCAAGCTTCTCAGCAGAGGGAAATCTAGATAGCTTGAGCGAGACAAAGTCATCATCAAGCATGATACTGGCATCTCCCGTGATAGCGGATAAATCCCCATGGACCTCAGTGGTGTCAGATGTCCATCTAAGACATTTATGAAGGGTGGTATCAATGACCTGCCGCATCACTCCATCACCAATGCTATCAGTGGCATCAGGACTGCCACTGGCCAGAAATGAGTAAGATAAGTATCAAAGAAGGCATGACTTACGCTCTGAACATCCAGGATGACATTGAAAATACTGACTTGATGTCACCAATAGTTAGATCATGTCTCGTCAGGTGTTCTCTACGGTAAGTAGCAAAAGTGCTACCTGGGACTGGATTGGTGAAGTTGAGGGGCTCGGAGTCCAGTCGATCAGTGAGTCGCACATGACAATGCTTGAGCACATTGATCAAGCCATCAGCGACATCATTCAGTGTGTCTGCCTCAAAGTGCAGGGTAGACGTGGAGTACTCGAGATCTGCAGAAACATGGATGGCGTGGGAGAGGTCACTCAGATCATGAATGTCCGCTGATGTCAAAGGAATGTGAGTGGATGGTGATGCAGCCTGTGAGTTGTCAGGAGTGGATGATGGGGACCGGGGTCGTCTTTGATACTGTACAGGGCGGGGTGAAGCAGAGCGGTCTCTATTCTGATACCGAGTAATTGGCCCAGCCAGTATATTGGAGCCTGAGGACATGCTACTAGTGGGTGCAGTTGAGGGTGTTTGCCTGTTGGGATGAGGAGATCCTGAGCGATCCCTATTGTGATAGTGAGGAACTGCACTAGAGGAGGACCCTGTGATAGATGAAGATGATGTGCGTGGGGTTGCTGTTGCTAATAATGAAGCTGGAGGGTTGGGTGCGTCGTTTGCTGGACAAGCAGCCTTGCATGGTGTAGTGAAGAAATGGCCAGGTAGAGATGGTGCATTGTCAAAGCCTTGTACTAGATGGCCCATGATGCAGTTGGCAAAGCAGAAATGTTGTTGGGGAGACCTGGGCTCGACTGGTCCAATGAGAGGTCCGCCTTTGGGGCCTGTTGAGGAAATTTAAGGCTTTAAAATTAGCTAGCGCACATGGAGGACGTACACAGATATAACAACCCAGTAGACCCATCATCTGGAGCACGCACTCGCTCGCACTTTTTCTGGAAGGTGGAGAATTGGAGCTGCTGGAATGTGAACGAATGGTCAACACGTAGATACCGCTGACCCTGATGGGCGTTGAAATAGCCAGGAGTGATGAATCGAAAGGGAAGATCGTGAAATTCTTTTCAGATATCTTGATTCAGTTCATCCAGTGCAAGGTCAAGAGGATCAGGGGAGTAAGACGGAAATGAAATGTTGGCGTCGAGAGTCATGTCTGCCACAGCCTTGGTTAACTCATCCAGGACATAGTGGTCAGTGTTTCGGTGTTGAAGAGTAAGTTTCTTTGTTAGGCCATGGCGAGAGAGAAAGTGAAGATCAGAGGCTAGGTCTTTGCCTGTGCGCATACGTGTGACAGTGTAAAAATCCTCATCTATGGGATCAGGAGCGTCTTCATTACAGACATTGGTGAGCTGTGCTTCAGGTCAGGATACAGTCTTCGCAAAACATATAATTCACTCACATCTTTAGGCAAAAGAACTAAGAGTACATTGAATGCTGCATTGCTCCCAGCAACCCTCTGATGTGCAGGCCTCATAATCCTGGTGCCCCGTGTTCGACTGCGGGCATTGTATGCGGGCATAGAAACTCCAGACATAGGCACACCAAAGGCCAAGTGACCTTGAGCAACCCACACAGGAGTATAAGCAGTTATCAAGGGTGCTGATGCAGGGGCTGGGTTGGTATATAAAGGAATTGAATGTTGAGGCAGACCATGAAAAAAATTATCGGAGCTCTGAACTGGTGGCTGTTGCTCCATAACAGCTGGAGGGCCAGGAGGAATACAATGCTGCGAAACTGTAGATGAGCGAAGAGAGCTGGCATTGGTGGACGATGTAATAGATGGCGGCGCTGAAGCTAGGAGGTTGTGAGGCTTCTCTGCCCATGTGCAAGCCAACCATCAGACCAGAAATAGTTAAATCAATTGCTGAAATTGGTGCGCTATGAACTAGTATAATTAGGTAGCATGATCGTGATAGGAATTAGGTAGGTAGGATGACTTCAAACCACAGATGTTGAAGCGAATACCCGTTCCATCACTCATAGCAACGCAAATGCAAGGTCGCATGGTCCCTTGGACACTTCGACGAAAAAGTCTCCGCTGAACGACTTGTTTGTCAGGAAGTTGTGGAAAGATGTGTGAGGAGGTCAGATGGGAGTACATGAATTGGTGGTGCTGCTGAGGAGGGATCCCATATGCTTAATAGTCGGATTCCCGGCTTTCTCGCTCGGCCTTGCCAGGAGGTGGTCCAAAACTCGTCGTTGGCCACCATGAGGTCTTCAAAAGTTTGCTGTATCGCCATTCTCGTGTTCTTTCCTACAAGCAACAATGCTCAGTCAGCATAAAAGATTCGAAAGCAGATGCTGGACATGACCTGTCATTAGTATCTCAAACACTGGATATAAGTCAAACACACGCATGGACATGCGAAAGATGCAGATCTGTATTGGAGTCGAACTTGTGTAACGACACTATTGGGCAATGAAGTCTTCGGCCTCTCTGTCAACGGCAGAATGTGCAGCGACTTCAAAATAGTCTGGTATATGCGCGAACCTGTCAAGATGTTTGTTCTCAGGCCCGAAAGTCCACCTATGTGAGCATCAGCGTCACTGTCTATACAAGCCTCGATCAAACTCACAGTTGCAACAGGACTTCCACCACTACTGGAGTGCCCTTGTCCAATCCCTTGGAGTACTCTGAGGGATGGATGAGGCTCCCGTCCACATCTCGCACGTTTGGCACCACCATAGGCACGTCCTCCAAGCCGTGCACATTGATCACTGTCTTAAAATGACCTTGCGGATCCAGCATGTCCTTAATGGTCCAGCATCAACCTCTGCTCCGATCAGCATATGCTCCCAAGACACGATGCAGCACTGGCCTTTACCAACTGCAGAGGCGCAGGCTGAAGCTGTCTCCTTCTTACCTGAGAACTGCTGCTTGAGAACATCTGTATCTGTATCAGAAACCATTGACTTCCACCAATGCTAAGATACCTACCTCCTGTAAAAGTCACGTCCATGTCTGACCCGCACATGTCAGAATCCGGCCACCCATGCAATGCCAGACTCACTTTATGTTTGGGAGGAGAGAAGCGGTTGTTGTAAATGATCTGCGGGGTGAAATTGAGCAGCATGCAATACTAGGGGAAAAGCAGATGAGAATGATAGCAGTGTCGAGGCAGGAATAAGTGCGACAGAGACAGGTGGAAATTTGTATGACAGAGAAATTGCAGGAAGGTACAACACCGTGGTGATGCGAGGACAGGGAAGGGAGTGAGGGGACACAAGGAGAGTCGGGCCAGAAACGAGATAAACAGCCTACAAGAAACGAACTCAGTACACATAGTTGAGGTAGTAGAAATAGATATGATAAAAGTTAGAAACCATCAGGCTTAAATGCTCGGAGTCGCCTCCTAGAGGCATGTCCTCGCAGCCTGACAGCCTCTGGTCCAAGTCGCCTCCTAGAGGCGTGTTGGACCAGGGAATGAAGCACAAATTGAAGAGAAAAAAGAGAGAGAAAAAAAACTTACTAAGTTAGTGCAACACTGGGTGGCACCATTACAGGATGTCAGGGATAGGCTATGAAGGCATCGGCGTCAGCATGCATTGTCTGGTGTTCGGTATACCAGTGCTAGTGCTGACGTACAAGGGATTTTCCAGCTCGACCTCCAAAAACAGGTGCTTCTTTGAACTTGGGCTCTCATAATGCGAAATGATGTTTTCGTGGTAACTACTGACGGGATGTGCGAGACGATACAAGAAGAGATAGACATTCGTTAGTTGGCTGTGCTTTCAGCGAGGAATCAGGCTAAAGTAAGAACCTGCCTGGTGAGACAACAAGAGGAGGTCAGAAAGAGGTCAAGCATCATGATAGCAACCTCAGAACGACTGGTGTCAATTGAAATCGAAGAGCAAGAGGGAGACAAGATGAGAGCCAGTGGAATACGTGAAGTTGAACAAAGAGCAAATGACGAAGTCAATATTAATGTGTAGTACAGACTTCTGCGGGATCACAGAGGACGCACACAGACCTCCAGCCATAGCAGGGCTCTCCCCCGCAGAAGTGAAATCAAATGAAAACTGAGTTTGTGAGGTGGTTGTAAAGTTAAGTTTCAAAGCCAAACCCACAGCTGCAGGAGGGCAATTATGGAATGACTCGCTTGTGGGCGTATATAGTCAATATCTCTGGTAGTTTGCCGACAAGGAACTCCCAGAGCGCGCTGTGGTCGGAACCAAAAGACGTCCCCTGTGGACTCCTGGTGTGGGCTATCTTGACCAGACGACCGGAGAACCTCAATGAGAGCTTGCTCCTTGACTGGTCCATGTGAGCACGTCAGGCATCGTGGCACTTCTCCCTTGTCCGTGCATGTCAGAAGATATGATATAATGCATTCTTTACAACTGTGTTATAACGTTAGCATTGGTAGATGAAACGGACAGTATTATGCGCACCATTGAGATAAGAAATAAATAGGTAGTGTACATTGCAGATAGAGGTGACGAGTTGTATGGTATCAATAAAAGACAGCTCGAAATACATCAGAGAGAACACCACACCGTTCTTGCGCAGACGAGGCCATCCGAACAACATAATCGTTGGCAAGACATTCTGGCATCAGGCTGTTGGTATGAGCAGGACAAAAAAACATGGACATACAAGCACCCACCTGAGGCAGGCGCAAGTAGAACCAGAGCTGCCTCCGCCTGAGGCAGAAGTGGTCAACTGTGGGTAGAGAGGAGTATCGGCCAGCGGAAAGATTGATGTGGTGCTTTCGAGCGAGGCTCAGGATGGGCATTGGGATTAGCTGGCCCACTGCCAGTTTGCATTCCCTGGATCCAATTAGGACCACCTTGTGAAGCATCAACACAGCTGAAAAACGTAAGAACAAAATAAATTGAGTTTTCCCAGGGCACCCTTTGGTGCTCAGGGACCTAGAGGCGCAAGTTAACAGCTGATGTTCACGGATCAGTGCCTAGGCGACTGAAAGTGTCCGACAAAGTGCGGAGCCGTGCAAATTGCATGTATCAGCCTCTGGAATGAGCGAGTGCCCAGTGGTACTAACTAAAGAAACCAAATGACGAAGCTTGAAATTTCGGTTCGATAATCATGTGACACATTTTCAAAGTCAACCAGCAAATACCGTAAATGCAATGCTTCGTCGAAGTCTTACCCAGATCGATCTACATATTGCGCTGCTCATATGAGAGCTACAATTTCCCCAGCTCCTCCTCCGCCCTCTCACAAAATATATCCCCTCTGCTCTCATCATACCCTACAAGTTTGTTGCGCTGTCTTTCACCTCGAATCTGTTAGAAGGTCGTACTTTCAAGCGGAACAATGTCAGTCTCTCACTCTTGTCCCTCTCGCTTTTTGACCCTTTTGACAGCTCTTGAAGGAACTTGGACAAGGCTGTCCCAAGTTGCTGTCAAGGGTGCTCAATATAACTCCTGTGAACGTCAGCCCCACCCGAAGTGTTTGGAAGGGACCTGGGTGGATCTCCTCAAATACATCCACGGATTTCTGGATGACACAGAGAATCAGCTCGTTTGGCTGCATGGCACGTTGTGGCACTTGCCTATCAGCTTGCCACCAATTTTCCAAGCATCCGGCAGGATGTGAACAGAGCGATCCGCAACAATCATGCTCTACTAGACCCAGACACGCCTCTCTGTAACCAGATGGAGGGTCCCTTTCTCCAACCCCTCCGGAAACTTCGACTCAGATTGTGTGGGTGTCAGCCTCTGACGTTTGTTGTCGATGCCCTTGATGAATGCACACCCGAACCTGAGCTTACTGATCTCATCCTTTCCCTTGCGCAGGCTCTTCCTTCGCAAAGCTGGCAAGTCGCCATCCCAATTTCCCTCAGCCAACAATGGATGTTCATCGTGGCATCTACAATGGTGAAGTTTAGGCTCTGGGGTGAGTTCTGCTGTTTTCTCAATCAAAGTCGACTCCGATTCACTGGATCGCGGCTCACTGGTTCCGCATTGGCAGAGGTCTTTGCTGACAACATCGTCATTTGTCCTCTCGAGATGATGAAAGTCAAGATCCTTGTTCCCCTCTGGTACTGTCAGGTTAGGCTAGACATCTTTTTGGATTGTACTCATTTTGATTATCGGTTCGCTATCCTTTCGGCTTCCTTCTTTCCCTCTGGTCTATTGCTGTCTATTTACCCTGTACAGTCTGTATACTCCTTGCCATGCAATAGATCTGCTTGTTAAAAGCATTGGACCTCCGGTGACTACACTTCTCTTGAGGCTATGTGTACTTGACTTGGAGGCTTGACGAGTTCGAAATCTACCCTCCCCCACACTCTCCCTATCACTTGTTTCCTTGTTCCACTGACTCCTCACAACCGTATCGACTTCAACGAAATTTCTGATGAAAGCAACGCCACAGTTCTTTGCCCCCTGACTACTGTGAGTGATCAATACTGTCTGGCATTCTGATGCGAAGAGATTGAGACTGCCTGCCGTGGTGCCAACATACTAGATTTTATTCAATCACTTCCAAAGTAAGACCTCAACACTACGAGAACTCGAGGCTTACTGACATGATAATGTTAATGAATTCAATACCAAAGTTGGTGGCAAGGGATTGCAGCTGTCGGGAGGTCAGAAACGTGTGTATCATCCATGACGGAAACCTTTCTTTGTGCGCTGAAGTCATAATCCAGAATGTATAGCAATCGCTCGCACACTGCTTCGGTACCCAAAAGTTCTTCTGCTCGACAAAGCCACATCAGCCCTTGATTCGTACTCGGAAAAGTTAGTATGGCCTCTAACCAAGCAATGTTCCGAGAGGGGCCCACTGAACAGCTCAAGACTATGCACGCTCCAGCTGATCCATAACGGCAATCTCTCTGACATCTTCATTTGCGCATTCCTTCCCAGCCTCAACGTGCGGTATCTGCGTCAACTCGGCCTTTCTGCCACCAATATTACCCACGTTGTGGTCCCTACCATTATCTTCGGCTCATAGATAACTTTACAGGTCAAGATCTACGTAGTTAGTAGTTGAATACATAATGCTAATGCATTCTCCCAGATATTCTGTCTCACAAGATTTGTTCCATCATCTACAAACTGAGCTGCAACCTCCTGAAGATACAGGAGCTGTTCCTGTGTAAGTGGGCAGTTTGGCTCGTCAACTTGAACATTGTTGAGAGTCTCTGGTGTATACGCGACAAATGGATTGTTGCCTAGAGGATCGTGTATGAGTTGGTTCGCTGTATGGTGATGTGCACGAATATGATGATTTTCGACATCATTCCAGTCAATGCCATACTCCGCAATGGCCTATTCACCTTGGAGAATCTCCTCTGGTGGTTGAAATGTAGCAGTGTCTTGAAATCCCCGCGCACCATGCTGTAGCATGCTAAAGAAGCGCATTCTGTGAGGACTGGCCATGCCATGCTCTGGGATGCTCATTCGGTGATTATTCCATGCCTCGGCCCAGCCATGAACCTCTTTGCACAACGTCTCAAGAAACAGAAAATGAAGCAACCAGATATGGTGAATATTATCTGCATCTAGGCCGCTGGTGGCCTCGAGGTCTTGAAAGAAACTCTTCCACTTGGAACCAATGCCCTGTGTGAAGTCGACCCATAATCTTTCAATACGTATATTGTGTACGCTTCTGTTAAATATTTTAGTATGTGGATTCATCTACAAAGTACTGAGTACCTGCCCCAAATGTAAGAACCCCTTCCATGACCTCGTGTTTCATCCATAAATCTCGCAACATCAACATTTTCCACCCCATGATCTCCTCGAACACGACTTGGGAGACCGTGGATGTGAACAATCTGTCGAAAAAGATTCATGACAGTGACTGCTCTATTGTTATTGTGCGGCTGGAGTTCAGTGATGTAATGAGAATATCCATCAATGAAACCATGCACGACAATCTTCCACCAGATCAGACCTATAAAATCATGATGGTCTGATGTGCATCATAAGAAAAATTAACATACCATGCTGTCCATCATGGTGCGTCAAGGAGTTGTACCCTTTTACATTGTAAACTCGGCGAGTAATGCGACACACACCAAAGGCAGCAATGGGCGGGCCATGAACACGAGAGTATGATGCTTGGATGCGAGAACGAGGTACAATGACCCCCATGTGGCGTAACTGGCCATCTATCATGCGACGTCCAAAGCGGGGATACTGAGTGAGAATCTGCAACATGATAGCATCAAGCTCGTTGTCAGGGAGTGAAGACTGTGCCGCAGTAGATGATGTATAATATCAAAGTGTCTCGCCTTCATCATCAGTGAACTCAACATAAACTGGATTCCCAGGTTCAACGATTTCATATTCTAGTGCCCTCCGTCGCACAGTGTGCAGTGCTACACCCAAAAGAGCACCAAGCCTCGTTGGTCCTGCAAATTGAAGGGCTGTAGCTAAAACCTCTGGGTCAATGTCAATTTGAGGACGTCCATGTCGATGGGTATGAACAGTGGAGACCACCTCAATAGGTGCCATGTCAGGTTCATCAGCTGACCGGTCTTTACCTTCATCAAGGTCCGTGATCATAGCATTCAAGCTATCATTCATGGTGATGTAGGTAGCCTCAGGGACTAAAGCACGATGCTGAAATATCTTAGTAGTGTACTACAGGTGTTATGGTTGTGTGACTCACCAAAGTAATGTCATTTTTTAAATGTTCGCATGCTTCGACATGCAGTTGGAGTCGGGCAGCATCTCCGAGCTGTGTGAGTAAGGCAACACGAACATCTTCTTTGAGCTGGTTGAATGCAAGTATGATGTTTTGCAGGGGAAGGGGAAGGTGTTCGAGTTTGAATGACTGGTCCTCCATGGTGGTTGAGGGTGAGGGTGTATTAGCAGGGACCTAGATAAGGTCACACAACATGGGCAACAGTGCCAGAATAGGGTCAACCAGTCAATTCACGGAAGGAACAAGTACAAATGTAATGCTGTATAATATACAAGGTAAGGCTATAACTATGCGGGGAACATGACAGTGTCAGCAGGGACACTATAGAAGTCACAAGTTTTCCGAGTGATCCGTACCAAGACCTTGCATTTCGTCGAACCAGTTGGCAATCATGTGAGCAATGGCTGATTTGCCCTTGCCTGCAGGGCCGGATAGCCACATTATGCATGGAACAGAATCTCCAATGCTAGGCCTCCGGACCGGCCAGAATCCGTACATTCACCATGTAGTGATATAGACGCATGAAGAGAGTTGACTCACCAATTGAAGCATTACAAGTTGAGTTGATGCGGGGCAGACATAACGCAGACACCAGGGGCGGCCCTTGACAATAAAATATGCAGAAGAGAGGAAACCGAAGCGTGATGTTTGCTTGGGTGCCTCTGTAGGTTAATGTTCTGTTGAACGATGCAAGCGAGCATATTGTTGGAGAGGATGCGAATCAGCAGTGTTGCAGCAGCAAGGTCATATCACACACACGCACCTAAAACACACAACGGTATCCTGCATTGAGGGTGGATAGCAGCAGATCGCCCCTCCCGGGCCGAATCGGCCGAATAGCACGCTGTGTGAATCTAGATTGCATGCAAAGAGAGTTGGCAAGGTTGAGTGGCACACAAATTGAGTTACTTACGAGCACGTTAAATTGAGATGTTGAAGTTGAGGTCAAGTTGAGTTGACACATGGATGAGTTGACTCAGTTCAACTTGAGTTGCCACATGAGCAAGTTGAGTTGGGAATTTCAAGTTAGCTCTTCAAGTTGAGTTACAATGTGACCGAGTTGAGTTACGAATTTCTGAGTCAACATTTTTGTCCGTCCAAATCTTGGTCTGCATTGGATTCTCTGACCCACCCTCGTCCACCAGACGTGGCTCCTCCGCTTTTGGTTCACAGCTCTACTTCGCAGCATGATTCATGTAATCTCGAGGCCTCTCGTCAACCACAACCCTTCGTTCAAAGTACGACAGAGCCCGCATATATCTGTCCAGTTGAGATCTCATGGATTTATGATATTCCTGTCGATGTCCTATCTTGAAGAAAACAAGATATGGTTCTCGTGTTCACTAAAATTTTCTGGCAGATATCAAGTTTAAAGTTCATTGCAGCCTCAACTTGTTGCATATATCTACATGCTCTGCTTTCCATATCGCTCAAATATGTCATTTTTCATTATTAACTTTTGTTTCCGTGAAGAGTGTCCGCCACCAAGTCGCTGATTACGATTACAAGATTAGTCATCCACAACAGTCATGCTGCCAGTTGGCAGTGACAGGTCCCGGTCAGTGTCGGCAGGGCTACACTTACTCATCTTGAATGACACATTCTAACACTAGTGATTGCTCTATCAGGAGACTTGGCATGGATGGGATTCTTGATCAAGAAGCAATCACCATCAAAGGTGCTTAATGAACCCAGTGCTTGTCACGGTCATCAATCTCACGAACTCATCGCAGCGAAATGTTTCGTCACTACACCGGATTTCGGTTATCATTGACCATCAGAATACACCGCTTTCAACAGTCAATCACTTGCTCTAGGATAGGCTGTTGGCGCAGTGGTTGAGAAATAATACAGGAAACAATGTCCTCTATCATCGACGTAGTGGCTAGCCATGCTGAATGACTTCTTCGTACGTGCAAAAATCTCACTACTGTTAAATATACAACTACAAACAACTAGTTAACCCTCCATTTAGGAATGCCACCATGCAGCATACAGGTCCCCTTATCTTACAACCGTGTCAGTCTATTCTTCTTCAAGCGGGCTTCTTAGCGAATATAGCTAGACTCCCTAGCTGAAAAAATGCAACACGTGTAAACAGTGCTGG